ACAAACTTAGCATGGATGTATGTTAGAATATGTGAACCTTTAAATCAAACCATTAATGTGTGTGTGATTGCTGAAAACCCAAAATGAGTATTACTGAACACATGGAATGAGATTATTGTTTTCCACCTAGCCATAATTCGATTAGTATGGGATTGAAAACCTCTCCTTGTCCAGCGAGTGTTGTCCTTTATGTCATCATCATTTAAGAGAGGAAACTATCACATCGACCCTGGTCCCCCACCATCCATCCATCTTTTATGGCATTGGCCGAAGCACAAATTGCACCTTGGCCATGGTACCCAAGAGGATTTATAAGCCATCAATGGTTAAATTCCTCAAACCAATTGTGATTTTCAGAATTACAAACATTATCTGTAAAGGATAACTATTCAAAACAAACAACAAGTTACTTAGTATTGGTCATCAGTGTATAAGGCTAAGTAAAAGGAAAAGGAAAAAGAAAAAAAAGTCAGTCATTCGTTTGTCAGGAGTCTAAAGTTAGTGTCTAAATTCCTCTAAACAGTCACACACTAGAACATATCCATTGAAGCAGGGGTTACAGGGAGTGTGCATAGAGCATCCGAGAAGAGTGCAGAGCCTTGGGGACACCTCTATGCAGACTGAAAGGAGCACACAGATTGCCACTCTTCAGCATTTTCTAAATGGCGCTGCACATCACCTGATGGGCTAAGATCAAGCCCATTCCTGCACCCAGTGAACTGGAGACCGAGAAATCATCCCATATTAGGCAGATATTATCTTCTATGGACCTGCTGGAGACTCAGTATATCTGGTCCCAGTGTATGATCTGCTCTATAACTTCTCTCAGACAAGGTACTTTGGAGAGATTGTAATTGGTGCAGAGGAGAAACACAGGGCACCGGTTCTTAATATCTTGCAGACTTTTGTTATACACATCTAGCAGGTGCTCCGCTAGATAACGATAACACAGCATGCAGGTCCAGAAGGCCTGTAGGGTTGATGGGCTCACCAGAGAGTTTTACAAAATAGACTTTTTAAAACTCCCATGGCTTCTGGACCTCTATGCTCAGGAGGGCTTTGTCACCTCTTTGACACCTTGGGGGAGTGCCAGCAAAACCAGTCCTGGGCCTACAGAAAAATTTCCCAAGCAGCTCCTAATTTTCTGTATACTCAATCTCAAAAATTGAGGAGTAATACTAACTACTACTACTACTACTAGTAGTACTACTCTAAAGCTATCCACCTATGCTGGCTTGGTTTACTCAGCTGCTGCTGAGATTTTGACTGGTGTCTTGCCTATTTGATCCTTCATTTCTTCCCATGTTCAATATGTTTTCCTTGTGCCAAGCCATATTATTACACATAACTTAATTTCTAGACATCTGTTGTTTGGTTTCTTTGTATGTGTGGATGGCATGAACTGTTACCGAGATCTGATTAAAATATCATCAATAGCATCTCTGGATATATATTTTACTGAGAAAAATTGTGGCGTGTTCAATATTTATTTTACCCACTGTATGTTTAACTCCAGATGTCTGATCATATTGAGGGTATGATGCTGACGAAGTAGTTTTATTTGACGCTTCTATGGTCCCACCACTGCCTTAACCAAGTAAAGTCCTTCTTTCTTTATCTTAAAGCAGTCCATAACATAACAGAGCTTCTCTGAAACTGTGATTGTGGGTTAAAGCCAGGTAACAATGCCAGTAGGCACTTTTAGGGTAAAATGTTTACGATAAAAACACTACTTAAAAGAAAAGAGTGGTCTGTAAAATTTACCATTAAAATATGGTATATTTTGAACACATTTTAATAATGTTTAAAAACAAAAAAAGGGGGGACCATGTTTACTGTCTGTGACATGTGTGTACTTCCTCCAGACGTCCACCAGGCCATAAGAAGAGAAAAGCTGCCTTGGGGCCTGTTTGGAGGCTGGATGAGGTTCTGCATGCTTGCGTTTTAAAAACGAACTCTCCGCACAGTTAAATTTCAAACAAAAAATACACAAACTCTTAAGACCCATAAACTCCCAACCTTTCTCAAATTTATCTAAAAACACTTTTCTCTCTGAGCTGACATTTGGAGCATAAATAAAGATAAAAACCATGTTAAAATGTCACACTTTGCTTTAACAAAGTGACACCTTCTGTTGATGATATTAAATCTGTTGTGAAACCTTTGCTAAAGAGGAGGCCCACCCGAGAATTCTGGGGGGATTTCTGAATAAAAGAAGCTTTTTGCTTACACTTGCTGCGCCAATCCACTTCATTGACTAACACTAGAACTCCCAAGGCAGTAATTTAGACAAGTCTGAGATCTGAAAGAGCTTTATTTAAATTAATCTTTTGCTGGTGTTGTTAATTGACTTTTTTCTGTTTCTATATTTCCTCCATTTTCATGTTCCTTAAATTAAATAAAAACTAAAAAATAAAAATGTTTAATTTTACTTTCATATCCCAAAGCCATCATTTTGATGGCTCAATTGGTTGCATTGTAAATTTTTCCCGTGGTCGATTGACGTTCATAGTGTTGCCTTGCAACCAACATTCTACAGAGAAAACTGGAACTCTTTGTCTAATATAGAAAATTGTCTTTCAGAAGAAATCTAACACCAAAACAGGATTTAGAAAAGCTTCATAATAATAATGATAGCAATTTGGGTGGAGAGGAAGAGGCATATGATGACAACTGGTCGGTGGGAAGCAGCTGCCTCTTTTTACAATTGCTAGGCATAGCAGCAACAGTTGCGTGCTCACCACATGCGCTCCAGACAGACACAACATACCAACCTCTCCGCCACAGAAGAGCCAGCTTTAACAAGGCAAAGAAAACAGTGCAGGTACATCAGCGCTGCAAAAGAAAAAAAAACGCTCAGATGGTGTTTGTCATTAATGTAGGAATCAATAGATTTCTGTAAATACAATTGTAATTTCGAACTTTGAACCTGTGTAGTAAAACAGTCCTATTTATTTTACTGATTTATTCTTAATATAAATTTAGACTACAAATAATTTAATGTAATACACCCTTGAGAAAATATATATTGGACCTGTTTTTTGGTCTACATATCCACAATGGGTTTATATCAGTACTCGAGTTGAGAGGCGATGAGGGGGGATGGCATCCCCCTTCTTAAAAAATCTTAAAAATCATTCCCCTTTTTAAATGACAATCCTCATACCATCCACTTTGACATTTTATCCCTGAATGTGTAAAATATATACTATATATTAATCATAATGGCAGTAATGTTGCCCTTTGAACATTTGGCGGGCTGTGGGCTTACGAGTAGCCTGAGCAAAAGAAATAATCAAAAATCAAAGAAGTGTCCTACCATGACTACAAAGCTGATCCCAGTGGGAAATGTATCTTCTGCATTTGTCCCTAACTATGTAGGGGCCGTGATAGTCATGCCAGTCCAGCAACTGACTGTAGTTCCACTGTAAGGAGCCATACAACCATGCAATGCATATTGCTTAAGGTTAATAGACTAAACTAATTAGGCTAATAATATTTTAGGCCAAAAAAAAAAAAATCTGTCACCTTTCCTTGATCCCTAAACAAAGCATTCATCTCTGTCTCACCCTTCTGCTCGGCACCCGCCACACCATCCTGCTCCATTTCAGCCTGATTCCTCTCCTCTTCACAATTCAGTCCACATCTCTCCCAACCACCAAACTTACATGTAATGTGCTTTAATTACTTCTCCGCATATGCTATCAATATTAGGAGTGGCTGGGACATTTACTTTGTTCTAAATTAAATACCGAAATTAGATTACACATAAAATAAAATGAGGTTCCAGATCATACATCTTATTATTAATTAGTTTATGCAGTTCATCGATCAATGCAGATATGTTTACATTGTTTACCATTATGTTCTACATCTAAAGAAAACCATAAGTAAAATTACAGATTTTAAAAATTTTATGTTGTTCGCATAGAGTACTAGCTTGAGGAATGCTATAACCTGTCTTCCTGCACATTTAGATATCAATGGTTAAAATCTCTGCTCCAGCTTACCATCAGATGTACATCCTTCAACAAAGTCAGCCTGAGATATTGCTGCTCATGGAAGCAGCAGTATCTCAGGCTGAGTTTACACAGCCTGCATTCTCTCCCCTGCTATGTCATATACATATATATATATATATATATATATATATATATATATATATATATATATATATATATATATATATATATATATATATATATATATATATATATATATGTGTGTGTGTATGTGGGAACTTATCATGCTATGTCATATACATATATATATATATATGTGTGTGTGTGTGTGTGTGTATGTGGGAACTTATCAATTTTACAGCACGATTAAATATACTGGATGAACAATAAAACAAATTCAATAGAAAGGTTCTGCAAAACATAGTTACAAAACAAAAAATAATAAACTCAACTGAAATTTTTTATAAAGGGGACAGATGGACCCAGTATTCAAAGTGAATCAGACAATGGGAAGTTTCAAAACATTTAATGACAGAAATTATAATAAAACAGAACAGAATGTGGGCTGCTGAGGATAAGCAGACCACAGTGTCAAAGCATGCATAACTGAGGCTAATTTAAACATGCCATTATCATACTTAGTACAAAATTAAAACATGCTTTCTAGTAGGTTCTAATAGTTTAAAAAAGCAGTAAAAGCTTTTAGACTCCACAGCAAGTTAAAACTTTTGCTCTGAAGAACTTTTGGGGCAAAAGTTCAATTCTTTACATTCTTGCTTTTCTCATTTGTATCAGTAAAACATTCCATATTGCAGGTCAATCTGTACATACTGAAGCATAATTTAAAGTTTAAACAAGTCACAGAACAAATAATATTTCTACATCACATTTGCTTCTTTGTCAGTGTTTTGAAATGCATTGCTTTGCTTTTACAGTTTCTTGTTTTTTATTTAATCAATTTGTTACATCATTTCTGTTTATTAATTTTTTTTATTCTATATGTCAGAAGATTTCATCTTTCTGTCTCCGTCTTTTCAGACTGAATGACTGCAACCTCTCAGAGAGAAGCTGTGAAGTTCTGGCCTCAATTCTCAGCACTGGGTCCTCTAATCTGAGAGAGATGGATCTGAGTAACAACAAGCTGCAGGATTCTGGAGTGGAGATGCTGTCCTCAGGACTCAAAAGTCCAAACTCAAAAGTCCAAACACTCAGGTCTAAATATTATTTATGTCTTTAAGCCCTGTCACACCTTGACGGTTTAGACAGCAATATGCCTGGCGTACGAAGGATCTGGCAAAACGCTGGCATAGGTTGGATAAGTTATGGGTATGTTTTGTATAAGTTATTGTACAAGTACGTTGAGAAATTTTGAACATGCTCAAAATTTCCTGTAGTTTGCCAGCATATGCTCATATGTGGTGCATAAGTTACAGGTAAGGTATCTAATCGTATCTAATCGTTGACATTCATTAAGTGTAAGTTACTCATCGTGGGATCTAGCATATCCAAAACCCATGAGTAACTAGTGCATGAGTTATGCATAACTTATGAAGAACTTATCTCCAATGCATATCAACGTATTTGTTCCAAACGACCGCTGAATGGGTTTCTAACTTACAGCTAATATACAGTTGCAGCCTTTTGGTATAAAATGAGTGTGATGGATCCCTTCTGCGTTCGCACCCAATGCCATGACCAACAAACTTCCTAGCAGACATGATGTTGAATCTGCTGCAACTGCAAACCTTCCTTCTTTCTTTTTTTTATTTATTTATTTCTTCTTTTTTTTGGCGGGCAGTAAACAGTAAAGCAGTTAGGTTAATACTACAATAAAAGAAATATTTTCATGCAGACAGACTGGGCACCTTCGGGTGCATTGCTACCCCCCTCAGGACACTGGCTTTTGACATTTGATGGGCATTAAGCTGCCGTCAGTTATTTATAAGTTAGGCTGTCATTGGACATATGCTCTGTACTCGTCATGAATACGTTCTGTATGTGCCCATAGAAAGTTTAGTATATGCCAACGTTTTAGAAGATTCTGGGACGTCAAGCATAAACTGGCTAAATCATCCGAAAAGAAACAGTGTGAAATATTTGCAACTCCAAACTAATCTGCATGGGCATAAAGACAATCAAGGATCTGTCATGATGGGTTTAAGGTTCTTAGCCCACATGCAGAACACAACGGAGGCTGGGTAAAAGTTTTACAGAGTTTATTGAATGTTTACAAACACAAGATAATGTACTGGGTCTGGAACTGGTCCGGGCTGGTTCACTGAAGTCTTGACTGAATCCGGGCTTCTCTTTGAGAGAGAGGGAACCGTTGGGTCCAGAGACTGTTTGTTCAGCAGAGTACAAGAGCAGCTGCAGCGTCTAACTTCTGACTTTCAATGGCAGACCTTGATCAGAGTTTCCAGCTCTTCACTAAGAGCAGCAGGGGAATCCACATAGGAATCTTCAGGTTAGGCTCTCCAGGGCAGATTGGCAGGTTAAGCTCATCCAGAGCTTCAGGCTAGAGACAGGTTTCCTGTGAGGCAAAAACAGAGGAGAGTTAGAATCTGATCTCTCTCAAGAGACAACTAAGATTCTTTCAGTTTTCAAAGGCTCAGGTTTCTAACCAAACTAAGGTCAACACTGCGGCGTCGAAGCAAGGTCTGGCAGCTTATTATAAAGGGGCGGTCTCCTGATGAGTAGATGCGTCTCAAGTGTGCTGGAAGGCTCCAGCTCCAGGAGACCCACGGCGCACTCTGCTGGAGGAAGGTGGTACAGCTCCAGATCCCAACAGGATCTTGACACTCAACACAACACCTGAGTTAGCAGGTATTGTGTGTAAATATATATAATTTTTAGAACATTATCATGTTGACAACTCCTCTAAACTATACGGATCAGAGGCTTGATACCATGTAATGTATTTGACCATGACAAAGGCAGATGATCACATGCTCACTGGCCTCTTGGTTGTCCAAGGTTTATGGGGGAAGAGAGCCAAAGCTGGCTACCTCTGTCTGGAACAAGTGAGCATTTGGGAGATTGCTGGCAGAGAGAGGCAGGCAGGTGGAACAGAATCCCTGGAGTGTTCTCCACTCTGGGATGTAGCAGAGAGAGAAACATGGGTTTATTCAAGGAGATCATGAAATTATTTGTTGGGTACTTGCTCAGGAAAATACATAAGTTCTACCCCCAACATCTGACCATCTAGCAAGGAGATATGGTCAATCTGCTCCTTAAATGTCCACCTGCTAATGACCTGATCTGTATCAGGTGGATGGTGGACCAGCTGCCAGCACACAGCCCCTCCTCCCGCAACACAAGAAACAAGAAAAGCAAAAGAAACTTGCCCTATTGCTGCTCTGCTGACAGCCAGGTATGGATAACCTATCCGGGGAGGGTGAATGGAAGAATAGGTTCTGTAACTCACAGCTTTCCGATGATAGGAGGTGACTGAGCGACAAGTGGGACTTAGTCGGGGGCCCGAGCGGCAACGCAGCCGAAAGCAGGATTTTGGAGCAGCTGAAAGAACAAGTGCAGGAGAAGGACAAAAGACTGGAAAAAACAGGCTTGATCTGGGAAACATGGAAAGAGGGATGAACACAGGAATGAGGTGGCAAACTTAGACAAACTAAGATCGGGCTGATGACTTCTTCGATTTCGTAGGGACCAGTGAATCGGGTGGCGAGTTTCTTGGCAGAGGGGTTGGAGAGGACGTCTTTTGATTATGGCCAAACCTTTTGACTGGGGTGATAATCAGGGGCAGGAACTCGATGACGGTCGGCAAACTTCTTGCTCTGCTCAGCGGTGCGATGCAGAGCAGTTACAATCGATCTCCAGGTCTGTTGGCAGAGGGGATATACTGTTAAACAGAGGTGACTGGGATACGGAGTTCACTGGAAAGAAGAAGTGGTTGTTGATAACCCAAGGCTATTTCAAAAGGGGAGTGACTGGTTGCTGTGGAGATGTGGGAGTTAAGTGCATACTCAACCCAAGGTGGGTGGGGAGTGGGGAATGATGAGGTGAGCCAACAGAGAGTGGTTTCCAGTTGTTGGTTAATTCTTTCAGTCTGGCCATTGGTTTGTGGATGATAGCCGGAGGTGAGTGTGTAACGGGCACTGAGAGCAGAACAGAAGTGTTTCTATACTGGGGACCCCGGTCAGAGAGGATGTCGGATGGGATTCCATGGAGCTTGAAGACATGTTTGATGAGCAGTTGAGCTGTTTGTGTGGCGTTGGTCAGCTTACAGATGGAGATGAGGTGGCAGGATTTGGAGAACCAGTCAAAGACGGTGAGGATAGCTGTCATACCTTGAGAGGATGGGAATCCTGTGACAAAGTCCAGAGCTATGTGTGACCAAGGGCAATTGGGAATGGGAAGTGGTTCTAAGAGTCCAGCAGGTGGTTTATTGGAAGGTTTGTTTCTTGCGCAGACAGGACAGACCCGGACATATTCTCGGACATCTCTGGACCAGGACAGCCACCAAAGCCGACATCATACCTTGGACTGGGTTCTAAAAATCATCGGGTGTGCTGAGAGCTTTGAATCCTGGCACCAGCGCAGAACATCTGGACGGACAGATTTGGGGATGTAGGTCAATCCAGCCGGCCCGGTAGCAGGATCTGAATCAAGCAGTGAGGCCTAGTTGATCCGTTCCTCTAATTTCCAATGAAGGGCTCCAAAGGTGCAAGACGAGGGCAGAATGGTCGCAGGTCCATCCTCTTGTTCTTGGGGGGCATGAAGTCAGGACAGAGCATCTAGCTTGACGTTGCGGAAGGTAATGGACAGATTAAAACGAGACAAGAAGAGGGACCAGGGGTTCAGACTTCAAGCTGACTGCACGTATGAGAGGTTTTTATGGTCCATCCAGATGACTATGGGCTGCTCGGAACCCTCCAGCCATTGTCGCTATTTCTCGAAAGCTAATTTTATAGCTAGCAGTTCACAGTCTCCTAGATCATAGTTTAGTTCGGCTGGAGACAACCGATGTGAGAAAAAGGCACACGGATTAAACTTTTGGTCGGACTCAGACTGCTGAGAAAAGACCACTCTGACACCTGTGTCTGATGCATCAATCTCTAAGATAAACTGTTTTCTAGGATCAGGATGAACTAGAGTGGGAGCCTGAGAAACCCTGGTCTTGAGTTCAGCAAGAGGCCTCGGCCTCTGGACTCCTAATAAAAGGAATCTTAGATGAAGTTGGGGCATGGAGAGGACATGCTATATGGCAGTAACCCCGAATAAACCTATAGAAGTTAGCAAACCCTAAAAAAAGCTGCAGCTGTTTTCTGCAACCCGGTGTAGGCCACTCAACTAAGGCTTTGATCTTATTGGGGTCGGATCTAACTTGTCCACCTTCTACAATGAGTCTAAGGAACGAGACTGAGGACTTATGAAACTCACATTTCTCAGCCTTAACAAACAGATGTTTTACAAGCAGACGTTGCAGACCTGACAGACATGATGTTGGTGTTGGACAGGATCTCGGGAGTAAATCAGAATATCGTCTAGATAGACAAAGACAAAAACATTAAGGAAGTCCCGTAGGATATCGTTCATGAGGGCCTGAAAAACAGAAGGGGCGTTATAAAGCCCAAAAGCATGACAAGATACTTAAAATGCCCTAGGGGGTCTTGAAAGCCGTCTTGCAATCATCCTCCCAACGGACTCAGACCAAGTGATAGGCGTTTCGCAGGTAAAGTTTGGTGAAAATGACAGCATCCTGGACAGGTTCTAAAGCAGATGACAGCAGCAGGTGAGGATACTTGTTTTTAACGGCAATCTGGTTTAGCCTTCAGTAGTCAATACCAGACATGGGCAATGTGGAGTCAACAAGTCATCTCCATGTCATGTATTTGTTCTACCCAGCCACTGAAGCAGGTGAGTCCAATCTTCACCGTGAATTAACCTGTGCAGATTGGACTCACCTGGTTAATTGGCTGGGTAGATTAAATACATGACATGGAGATGACTTGTTGACTCCACATTGCCCATGTCTGGTCGATACACGGACGGAGGGATATGTTCTTCTTACCCACAAAAAAGAACCTTGCGCCCAATGGGGAGCAAGCTTGCAGCAAGGGACTCTCGACTGGTGTGTAGGAGCACCCGTTAAAAGATCAATGGCGCTGTGAAAGGGGCAGTGTGGTGGCAACGAACTGGCCTTGCTTTTATTGAAAACCTGGCACAGGTCAAGACAGATCTCAGGGACCAAAGTT